GCGGCGCGGCGCGGGGCGGCGGGCAGAGACGAAGCGCGTTTGGGGCCCCCTTCGCTCCTCTGCAGGGGCCCCCCGGTGGGGTCGAAGGCCTGCCCCGTTTCGTGGCGTTATGTTTCGGCTTTGCCGCTTAGGGGCTGCGGTCCCTGCGAGCCTCTCGCGCCTGCCCCGGCTCTCCTCCCAGCGATGCCTTCCCCTCGCCTCCGACCGGGCTGTTGGAAGGCAACGGTCAAAAAAGGCAAGATGGCGGCCACAAGGGTGCGATCGAAACTTTGTAACACGCATAAAAAACAGGCGGAGCTCCGATGGCCCCGTTGTGGCCGCCGCTGTGACTTTTTTGACCATATCCTCCTACACCCCTGCCTCCAAGCCAGACCCGGGGCCGCCTGAAGCTGTCTCGGCTGTCCCAGCGTGGAGCTGATACTTTGGAGGGCAGGCGGCGCTTCGCCTCCGGATGGTCTGGAGCAGGGTTTCTCAACCTTGACGACTTTAAGACACGTGGACTTCGACTCCTAGCATTCCCCAGCCAGCCACGCGGGCTGGAGAATCCTGGGAACTGAAGTCCTCAGATCTCCAAGTCGCCAAGGCTGAGAAACACCGGTCTGGAGGGAGGAGAGCAAAGGCTGCCTCAGGGGAAAGAGCCTGGCGCGTGGAGCCCGGGGGGCGAGGGCGTTTGGGGCCTCCTTTCAGAGCTCCCGCCCAGAGGAGCCCGCGGAAGGGCAGGCGAGCCGGGCGGGGGGCGCAGCCAGCGCAGCCCAACTCAGCGGCGGAGACCAGCCGCGGAAACCGCGGCGATCTCCGCTTTTCCGCTCGGAACGGGACGCTTCTGTCCTGGCCCCGGAACGGGCGCCTTCTTCCCGGCCTGAGAACGCGAGTCATCGGGCGCGCCACGTCCCGGGCAACCGGTGAGCAGAGCGCTCGCTCCGATGGAGCAGCGGGTGGCGCCGGCGGCCAACCGGGCTATCGTTCAGCGCGGGCGTCCGGCGGCGTCCCTTCCCGCGGCTCGGCTGCATCCCCGGCCTCCGCTGCTCTGGCTGCTGCTGCTGCTGGTCCTTTGACTCCTGTTGGGCCGCAAAGGGGTCCGCTTTGATCTCTCTTTTCAGCAGAGTCTGTAGTGTTGAAAATGCACTCTAAGGGTTGCCTTGCACCTCGGTGAGACGTGCAGGAGTCGTAGGGCAAATATTCCATTGTGTCAGTCTCATTTGAAGAGATCTCACATTCTTTAAAGCTTCTACAGGTTAACGAGAACGGGCATTTGAGCTCTCAATTCCACCAATAATACAGGGTTCATCTATTTCCTTCAACGCCTTATTAAAAGATTTCTCTAGGTAGGTGCCTAGAAAGGACACGGAAGATTTCTATACTTAGGCGAGTTTTATGCCTTTTGTCTGTTGTTTTAAAGGGGTTCTTATCAGAACCAAAAGACAGTGGAACGGCTCTGCATTGGTACAAAAGAGTGATAAATGGTCTCATTCCAGTTTCTTTTTTCAGTTGGTTGGAAGCATTATATCTGGATTTCTGCTTGGAGTGAGAATGTTTACTGGCATAGTCTCTTCTAATACATAATTTTATTGAAACAGTACAGAAACTATTTATCCTCAAGCCCCAAAGATGCTAAGGGAAGGCCCTGGGAAGATCTGATGTCTACTCTAGAAAATGAAATGGGGAGTAGCAAATAAAATCTTTACTGCACTTCCAATTATGTATGTGAACTGGGGATTGTGGGAAGTAATTGGTGCTTAGTCCAAATAATGCCACCTTAAAAAAGCATTTGTATTCTAAATCACTGCCAAATAGCCACTGCAGCCACATGTTCCTGAACTGGGAAGGAAAAGTTGTCTATAGATGCTCATTAGCAGGGCCCCAAGATTGTATTTCAGAGACCTGGAGAATAAATGAACAGAATCCAGATTCACGAAATGAATCGTCACCCAGCTGAGGAATTATATGTGAATACAACCTGCACTGGCTAATTATGAGTGAGCGCACCAGCGATTTAAATTAAGAAATTATCACGTAATGACAGATTAGCCACAGGTCACCACGCTGGCTGACTTAACACAAAGCAGACTCGCACCACCTAATCTCACACCATGAACGCTATGGAACTGGGGGAAGAGCAGCCACTGGGGATAGGTCTTTTCCCATCTGTACGCACACGTGTGTCACATCAAACTATGAAAACAGGGCAGAGCCTCAATGGCATCGTCACAACTGCCATGTTGACTTTTTTGTCCATATTCCCACGGACACCCCCGTGTAGGACCAAGGGCTGTGGAATTGGGTCCATAACGCTTTCTAGACGTCAGTCAGCTGGAACATATTTGAGAAGGGTTTTCAAGAGTTATTTCAGTCCAGAACATAGAGGAAGAAGCTGACCACTGCAAGATTAGAAAATTGGATCCCTACCCCGGCAGGTAACAAGTAGGCTTTTAAATTATTGTTTTATGGGTGCTAATTTAATGGAATGTTTTAATTGGCAATCTAGGGGGTTGCCTATTTGATTGGTTTTACTGGTTGTAAATGGATTCTTATTAGGCTGTCATGATTTTGTAGACTGGCTGCTTTGACATCCTGATGTTTCCTACGTCTTTGCAGCGCCTGTTTGTCATGCCCTGTGTTGAAAGGCGCGCTGCGCGTGTGCTTTGGGAGAAGTGTTTGAACTGCACGAAGCTCGGTCCTGCCAACTCTTCCTGCAAGTGCCGTTGAACGTGCTCGTTAAGGCGATTGTGGCTCTCTGAGCAGGGGCGCCTTTTTTCAAGCTCACACCGAGGCCTGAACAGCAGAGGGGCCCTGCGCCCACGATTCGCCCTGACATCGGGGATAATGGAGAAGCAGCTGGGTTGTCTCCTGTGCGATGTTCCTTCAGCTGCTTGCTGACTGCTGGGTTAAACAGAGGCACAGAAAATAGAGGCAGGCAGGGCGACACCCCACCAGTGTTTGGGGGATCACACCCTCAAGAAAGTAACTGAGTAAAAACCGGTCTAAAACAAAGGAAAAAGAAGAGGAGAAAATGGAAGAAAGGGTTAGGAGCGTGCAAGACGTGCCCTGCTGCTCAAGGCTCCCCTTCTGCTCCTGAATGCCCCCCCCATAAAAAGAGGCTCTGACATTTTCAATACTGCCCCAAGGGAGTTCTGGGGATGCATGCACGCCCCACCCCTATGGATGGAGCACGGGGACAGAGGTGAGGTATGCTGGGAGGAGCGGGTTTGGGGCGGCTTCTCAGTTTGCAGTCGCCCCTGCAGGTGTGTGGGACACCCCAAAAGGGTGAGACGGAGCGAGCACGGCAGCTGAGCGCAGCGGGCTGGGGGATCCCTTGTTGGAACTGGTTGCCATGGAGAGATTTGCCTTTCTCTCACATGGCCTGCAGAACGTGCTCTGCAGCCCCTCAACTCGTTTGAGATCTCTGGATCTCTCTTTGGTAAGCCCTGCAACCATATAAGTGCTGTAGGTGTGCATTTAACAGCTCCTTTTGGGGTTCCTGTCTTTGATGACTGCAGGAGAGGTAGAAATTGCTGATGGCCCAGCATCCTCTCTTCCTTTAAAAAATACTTTGTGTCTGCCCACACTCCTCCTCCTCCTGCTTTCTGATCATCTCATTTCTCCCAAAGCTTCCTGCATCTTCTTCCATTTATTTTCTCCTGGAATCCCACTTGTCTTCCCTCTCCTTCCCCTCTGAACAGTGGGCTTCTTTCAAAAGGTGTTGTGTCGCAGGCAGGCAGGCATTTTTAGAACTGGGGAAGCGCGCTGAGGGGAAGGAGGAGATACGAGGTAGATGCACCCGCTGCGTCACGCACATTAAAGTGGGTCCGAGATCATTTCCCCACTAAATTCGGGGATGCTGACTTAGTTGAGCCCTGCTCCAGATAGTTCTCTTTCACAGCAACACAGCGCAATGATACTGGCCTCAGCTTCTCCCAGCTCAGAATCTTCTCCCAGGCGGCCAGGGGCAGAAGAAGCCGCTGTCCTCCAAAACCTCGGAGCTGCACACAACTCGCTCGGGAGGGGATGTCCAGGTGGCTCTGAGCTTCCACCAAAGAGCTGCTTGGTTGCACAGTAAGGAGGCAGGAGAGGCCCGGCCATGAGCCTTCGGACTCTGGGATGGATGTGGTGGGGAGCCGGTCACGCGGGTGGAAAACATTATTCTTCGGAAGGGGAGCCCTAGGCTGGAACCAAGAAAGCCGAAGGTCGAAAGCGAAGGGAGCCTGTACTTGCTTTGTTTCTGAAGTGGCGTTTTGCAGTTCAGGGGCCCGTCGTCCTTCCCGTGGAGGGATCATGCTGTGCCTCTCCTGGCCCCATCTCTCCTCCCCGAGCAAACTAAAGAGAAATGGCGACGTTTTCCTGTATGAAGCCATGAAATCCTTAGTGCAGGCTTTCTCAACCTTAGCAACTTCCAGATGTGTGGACTTCAGCTCCCAGAATTCCCCAGCCAGCATGAGCTGAAATTCACACATCTGGAAGTCGCTAAGGTTGAGAAACCCTGCCCCAGTGGCACGAAATCAGGAGGAGCCTGGTAGCACCATTCAGCAGTTGCACCTCACGAAAACTCCTGCCTTTAATGAAATGGGTGAGTCGGGAAAGGTGCCCCCGGACGCCCCTGCTTCTTGGCTCCAGAGTCTGTCTCCATACAGAATTACCTTCACGCGCTCCGGGCCTTCAAGGAGTCAGGTGAGAAAGCGGACACAGAAGCGGAAAGGGTGGAAGAAGATCCAGCCAAAGGGAGCCCACCCCGGCCGTCTCCTTCCTGAGGCGCAGCAGCTGCATGCCGAGCACGCGAGGGCGCCGGCTCCAAAGAAGGCACAGCTTCTCTAACAGAGCATCACTGTCCTGAGGCTGTAGCCAAAAGGCGACGCTGACTTTTGGAAGTCTCCCAAGTAGAAAAGTCCCTGCGTGAAGAGGAACGTCGGGGCATCCGCAGGGCACGGTCCAAAGAGAGGAAAAGGCAGCCGAGACGGTGCGACGCTTATCAAAATGGACGGAGCTTTGACTGCCCCCTCGGGCATCCCTGGGCACCATGCACCTGCTCCCTCGCGCTCGGCTCCGGGGGAACCTTGGGTCGCCACCGTTTTCCTCGCCCAGGGCAGCCGCAGCTTCAGCACTTCGTAGAGGGACGGTGGAGGGGGGTCTCTCCCTCTTCCACCCTTCAGGAGACAGGCAAAGACCCCGGAGCTCCTCTCGTTTCCAGGGCAGGAGCGGAAATATGTCATGTTTATTAAGAATTTTGACGATAATAGTAAAATCTGGTACAAATTAACCTTAAAGAAAGAAAAGAGAACAGAAAGAAGCCGTAAAACATACGAGAGAAAGAAAAGCAGGAATATAATAAGGAAAGGGGAAAGAGATACAGAAAGAAGGGGCTTCCAACCTTCATTGCAACTAGTATAAACAAATTTTGCGACTTTTCGCCCCCTCTAAGGTTACGAACATTTGTCGCTTTGTCCCATCTCTTAACCGTAGCGCTTTTTAGGGATCCAAGATGACAGAAAGCGGACCTGGCCGCTAAACGAATCATCCTTGATCGGCGTTGATACCGGAGCCGGCCCCGGGCCCAGCCGCGCGGCGTCAGCGCCCCTCAAGGCCAAGGCGGCCCCTCCGGCCCTCGCGCTCCCTCCGCCGTCGTGGCCAGAGCGCCCCAGCGCAGCCTGTTGAGCGGCGGCCTGCCCTCGCCCGGTTGAACGCGGGGCCTCGGGCGGGGAGGCGCCCCG